TAGAGTACCCAAACTAACGAGAGAAGCTCGTGAAGAAAGCCATTGCTTGTACCTATATTAGACTTTGTAAAAAAAAAAAAAGCAGAGAGAAAGAAAAATCATTTTCTACAGCATCAGATTATAGGAGCCTATACAAGTGTCACGTATTTGACATCGGGGGGACCAACAGTCTTTCCAGATTCCCCAGCTCCAAAGAGTGCTCACAAGTTAATTATTTAAAAAAATGATCCCCCATCTCACAAAACATCAAGTAATCTTCCATTGGCCGTCGAAAACTTTATGTGATGTCTCGCAAGAATATGGACATTTCATGAGATGTTTAACAGTTTTGCAAAACATCGGCTTTTTGCAAACACTTAAAAAATAATAATAACTTAATCACAGTTATTTTCAGGTGTACTGACATTTGAGGCACAGGGTTGAAATGAGGACATTTGAGGCACAGGGTTGAAATGAGGGGGTCCTTGGTGCTCGCTGAGCTTGGTCGCTTTCTTGCAGACCTTTCATTACCCTAAAAGGTAACATCATCAAGTGCTAGAAGGGGTAAATGAAACGTCTGCAAGAAACCAACCAAATTCAGAGAGCACCAAGGACCTCACATTTTCAGATGTCCTTTGTGTACATGAGTGGTGGAAAGCAATCATCGATTTAGCCTCTAGAAGAGTCTCAGTGGCAGTGGTTAGAGAGCTATAAAATAAAACTCTGCACACAGTCGAGTTCGATCCTGACCGGTTCAAGGTTGACTCAGCCGTCCATCCTTCCAAGGTCGTTAAAATGAGGACCCAGATTGTTGGGAGGCAATAGGCTGACTCTATAAACCGCTTAGAGAGGGCTGTAAAGCACTGTGAAGCGGCCTATAAGTCTAAGTGCTATTGCTATATTAACCCAAAGCCTGGATACTCCTGGTTGTTTTTAACTCCAAATTCTGTTCACATTCACCCTAACTCAGGGGTAGGCAACCTCGGCTCTTTTATGACTCGTGGACTTCAACTCCCAGAATTCCTGAGCCAGCTAGGCTGGCTCAGGAATTCTGGGAGTTGAAGTCCACGAGTCATAAAAGAGCCGAGGTTGCCTACCCCTGCCCTAACTCTAAGGGTGATAGGAAACCCTAAGCCACAATCCGGACAAACCAAGGTTGGGGATGGATAGCTTATACATGGTTTAACTTGCAAGTGAAACCATTTTGCAAGGGGCAATTCCCGTGACAGAATCACACACCACGTTTGCACCAACACTTTGAGCAAAAAATGCAAAAGAATGGCCTGTGTGGTGAACTTCTCGGAAGGAAATAAGCATGAATTGGCTGGCTGAGGAATTCTGGGAGTTGAAGTCCACAAGTCTTAAAATTGCCAAGTTTGGAGATTCCTGGTCTAAAGGAAGCTCTGTCCTAAGGATGTCAACTGTTTTTATTTTTGTTTCATGATTTTACTTCGCAAGGAATCCCAGCGGCCTTCGCGAGGCAAAATTCGTGCAGAATTTTGCCTCGTGTGAGGAAAAATTCTGTCACAGAGACATTTCCCCCCCCCCTCTTCTACAGAACCTCAGGATGCTTAAACTGGTTTATAACTGGATTCAACCCAGTGTGGCCAACGCAAAGCTGATGTCTTATAACTCCCCCCCCTTTTTTGCAGATTAAGTTGACAATTATCCAAGCGTTATCTTTTACCACTTGAGAGGAAAAGATACGGATTCCCCCACTTAAGAAATAGTTTACTGTATCTGTCTAGAACAGGGGTAGGCCACCTTGCCTTTTTCATGACTCGTGGACTTCAACTCCCAGAATTCCTGAGCCAGCCATGGCTCAGCTTGGAAACCTCTCCTTTTTTCCTCAGCCTGGCTGGCTCAGGAATTCTGGGAGTTGAAGTCCACCAGTCATAAAAGAGCCAAGGTTGCCTACCCCTGGTGTAGAATCTACCGTGTTTCCCCGAAAGTAAGACCTGGTCTTACTTTTTTTGGGGCACTAGGATTTACTTTCAGGGAGGGTTTACTTTTTGCTGGTACCAGTAGGCCGCAAGCCCGCGGGGGGGGCAGGGCCTGTGCATGGGGCGAAGCAACGCGGCAGCGAAAGAGTGGTGGCGGACGGGGTACGGTACCGGTGTGGGCAGGGCGCGCATGCCCTTCCCATGCCAGGCCAGCCCCGGCAGCCCCGAGGCGGCCATGCTGGGTGGCAACCAGCCGACCAAAGCGGCAGGTGGAGCGCCGGAGGCTCAGGGAGGGTGGTGAAGCGGGTGTCCTGCTTTTAGCACCCATGCCGGCTGCCCCTTCCTTCCCTGTGGAGCTGGAGAGCTGGCCCCACCACCGCCCAGATGCCTTCGCTTCCCCCAGGAATTGCATTTAGGAAAGAAATACAGCCCTGTTTCTCCTTCACGATCCTCCGCTGCCGCGTGCAGGGAAAACAAAAGAAGCTTGGGGGGGGGGGAATGTCAATCAATCAATTCCAACTTCGCGAGATTTTCTTTCCCTCGCGAGTTGAAATTAATTGATTGGACTTTCCCCCCCACACACACACAAACTTCTTTTTGTTTCCCTGCACGCGGCAGTGGAGGATCGTGAAGGAGAAACAGGACGGGGCTGCCAGACCTCCCACTGCCGTTGCCGTTGTTTGGGGCAGGATGCTGCAGGCTGCTTCGGGCTGGCCTGAAGCACCACGCGGCATTCCTGCCGCGAGCAATGGCAACGGCGTGGGAGGCCTGGCTGTGGCGGTCCTACCGGTAAGCGGGTGCGGGGCGCATGGGGCAGCTTTATCTCCCCCACCCTCATACCAAACTAGGGCTTACTTTCAGGGGGGCTTATATTAAGCCCACCTGTGAAAATCAGGCTGGGGCTTATGTACCTACCTGGAGTGAACTTGTAGTCTGCAAAGAGAGAGGGCCGATTCCTGGACCCCTAACTTGCAAAGATAAAATCCAGAATTCTATGCTTCTTCCCAAACCTCACGCTCTTCAGATGTGTTGAAACTACAACGCCCATAATTCAAAGTCAGCAAGGAATGAGGCTAGGGCAGTGATGGCGAACCTACGATACACGCGTGCCAGAGGCGGCACTCAGAGACCTCTCTGTGGGCACGCCTGCCGCCGCCAGCATCTCCCGTGGGTCCATTACGCCGCTGCTGCTGGCGCCCGGAGCAACAGCCCCGTGCAGCACAAAGTAGACGAAGCAGCCAGCTAGCAAGCTCAAGTAGAGCACGCCCCCATGCGCTGGCTGGCCTCTATGGGCAGGGGCCAATGGTGTCAGACAGCAGTTGCCCCTGCCTCGCCTTGCCCTGCAGCAATGGCACCCTTGCCCTACCCCCTGCCTCACTCTGCAGGAAAAGCCTCCTGCCCACTGCCCCATCCACCAGAGATCCCCTGGATCTGCCCCAATCCTGCCCAGCCCCCACAGGCGTCCCCCCACGAGCAACATCGAGGTGGCCATGCCCACCCAGTCTGCCATGACCACCGCAGCCACACCCACCCAGTGGGCCATGCCCCCCCCCCAAGTGCACCACAATGCTGATGCAGCCCTGGCACTTTGCAATAAATAAGTGGATTTTGGGTTGCGGTTTGGCCACTCGGTCTCCAAAAGGTTCGCCATCACTGGGCTAGGGAAGGCTAAAGGCTGGGTTTAGATAGGAAGTGCAAAGTTAATGGATGATTTGTGTGACTGTAGGATGGTGTTTTGTTTTTTTTTTTAAATTTTGGCAACTTTAAAACGAGTGGACTTCCAAGCCCCCCAGAATTCCTCAGCCAACCTGGCTGGCTTAGGAATTCTGGGGCTTCAAGTCCACCCACCTTAAAAGTTCCTACACGCTGCGGTAGGAATAAACGTGAAGAAAAATACTGCCTAAATAGGTTTGTTTATGGAACAGGTTCACCGCAAGCAGTACAAGAGAGAGCCTTGTACTTTCCCCCTGAGCTACTAGCTTTCCACTTTCAGGGAGTTAAGTGCAAAACTGTTAAAATTTCATTTTTGCCTCTCTGGCAACAGAGGGTGGTGTTTTTTTTTTGTGTGTGTTTTTTTAGGATTGTACCACACCTTCTTGATGTACCTAGAACGCCTTTTTTGAAAAAGATTTGTCTTCAGGCCTGTGTTTTCCTACAATCCCCCCCTTTATGGAGTGCCCGTCTGGAAAACTGCCTCTGGTTCCAGCCATCTTGGAACTGGATGTTTCCCACGTTAATTGGGATCTCCTACCAAATCACCCTCGTTTCATCCAAAGGGAGAAAGTTCATACTTCTATCGAGCTATCAAATAAATAATAAAAAGCTGGTCGGCTGAGCTTGTTACCTAAAGCAAATGTGAAACGAGACAGGAATCGAATTCATTGCTCAAGGTCCAACGGGACCCAAACCTGTTTTCCCCCTATTAATGTCCCCTCCTGTTTCTCTGCTGCTGTGTCGTTATTTTCCAATGCAAGGCAAAAAGGGCTCTGCACTCAGGCAGGCTGGCTCACGCCCGAATCAAAGGCCAGCTCAGTTCCAAGGGTCTCACGCGCATCCAGTGGGACTTAATGAGATAAACGTTCGTTGCAGCTCAAATCCGTCAAAAGGCTGAGCAAAATTCATTTAAAACTCTTTGTGAAACCGACGACAGGCAACGAGGGGGCACGTGGACCCAAGAAGAGCCTTCAAAGACGCGTCCCGTGGTTCCTCTACTACAGACCCAAATCTCCAGTTGATCAGGAACTGCATTCTAGGCACTGGGTAGTGAAGGACGATACTAAAAATTCAGGCATTCTCTTTCGTTTTCGTATCCACCCGATTCTGGTCCTCTCTACATTTCCAGTTCCCCTCCCAAGGGTCTGAAATGGGCCTGGTTCGGCAACAGGAACCAAAACCGCGATGGCCACCCCATCTGGGGGGAAGGCATTCAGCTGCCCACAGTCACCTTCGGTCAGCGAAATCTGTCCTCCGTCGGCTACAGCAACAGTCCCCTTTGCAGGATCCGCTCCGTCAAAAGAGGAAGCCGACGATGACCGGCGAAAAAAAAGCAGAACCCGAGGCCCAGACGGCCTCGTCTGTTCACATCTTGGCGTCGCCGCTCTGTCCCGCTCCTTCGGCCGTTTCCCGATCGGCCTCTTCCGATGCTTGCGGGAGGCCCGGCGTCAGGCTCAGATTCACGCACTCGGGACACTTCTCCGGGCTCTCGGCGGCCGAGGAGAAAATCTTCCCGCAGTCGGCGCAGATGAAAGAGTTCAGCCCCAAGTGGCCGCGCTGATGCCGGAGGAGGGCGGCCTTGGCTTTGAAGCAGCTGCCGCACTCCGAGCAGACGTAGGGCTTCTCGCCGGTGTGGGTCCGCTCGTGGGCGATGAGCTGCGAGCTTTCCCGGAAGCCCTTGCCGCAGCCCAGGCACATGTAGGGCCGCTCGCCGGTGTGGGAGCGCTCATGCGCCACCAGGCTGGAGCGCTGGATGAAGGCCTTCCCGCACTGGGGGCAGACGTAGGGCTTCTCGCCGGTGTGGGTCCGCTCGTGCTTGCTGAGGCTGGAGCGGACGCTGAAGCTCTTGGCGCAGTAGAGGCACTGGTAGGGCTTCTCGCCGGTGTGGGTCCGCTCGTGGGCGATTAGCTCCGAGCTCCAGTTGAAGCCTTTGCCGCACTCCAGGCACTTGTGGGGCTTCTCGCCCGTGTGGGTCCGGATGTGGGCCATGAGGTGGGAGTTTTGGCTGAAGCTCTTCCCGCACTCGGAGCAGGTGTAGGGCTTCTCCCCGGTGTGGATGCTTTGGTGGCGGATGAGGTCGGCGCTCAGGCTGAAGCCCTTGCCGCACTCCAGGCACTTGTAGGGCTTCTCCCCCCGGTGGCTCTTCTCGTGGAGGACCAGGGTGGCCTTTTGGCTGAAGCTCTTCCCGCACTCCAGGCAGGAGTAGGGCTTCTCGCCCGTGTGGCTGCGCTCGTGGATGATGAGGCTGGACCGCTGGTTGTAGCTCTTCTCGCACAGGAGGCACTTGTAGGGCTTCTCCCCCGTGTGGGTCCGCTCGTGCAGCTGCAGGTGGGAGCTCTGGCTGAAGCGCTTGTCGCAGTGCGAGCACTTGAAGGGCTTCTCCCCCGTGTGGGTCCGGCCGTGGGTGTTCAGGGTGGAGCGTTTGCCAAAGCTCTTCCCGCACTCGTTGCACTTGTAGGGCTTCTCCGCCGGCGGGGACTTCTCCTGAGTCCGGAGCTCCGCCACGCTGGCGCTCCTCAGGCTTGGCCCAAAGGTTTTGGAGAGCTCCTGGCCTTTCCTCTGGAGGAAGCTCTCCTGGACAGCAAACTCGCTGAAGTCGAAGAAGCCCCCGCCGAACGGGATCGAAATGGGGGCCCGGGCTTCCAGCAGACAATCCACCGTCCTCGGGGGGCTGTCCGGGGCGCCCAACTGGCCCCCAACGCTGGGGGTAAAGCTGACCTCGTCTCCGCCCCACATCATCCGGTTCAGCTGCAGGCGCTCCGAGCCCCCAGGCAAACCGTCCCGCTCCTTATTTTGGTTCCTCCATCCGGCTGCAGAAAAAGAAGAGAACTGAGAAGTCAATCGTTCCCGACCAAGTCAAGGAAAGCAGGGGACACCAGTTAAAGCAGGGGTGTCAAACTCAATTTCACTGAGGGCCGCATTCAGCATTGCGGTTGCCCTCGGGGGGGGCAGGGTGGGTGCAGCCTACTGGGTGGGCGTGGATGGAGTGGGTGTGGCCTACTGGGTGGGTGTGGCCAGCTCTACATCGTTCGCGTCAAGGGTGCCTGTGGGGGCCTGGGCAGGAGTGGGACAGATCTGAGGGTCTCTGGCAGAAGGCAGGTGGGACCGGGGCAAGCGCCAAGGCACGGTCCATTTCTTCATTCCTCACAAAGGGTGACAACTCCCCAGCATGCACCCAGGAGACGGGGCCGACATGGCAGGGGCTGGTTCCTCGCTGTTTCCAGATGGCCTTGTGGAGCTAAGACTGAATGCGTTTCAGCATAGATGGCCACCATAAAATTGTACATTGGCTCCCGGCTGGCCTGGGCCAGGGCCAAGGCAGCGGGGGCCGTTCCCTCACTGTTTCCAGGATGGCTTTGCGGGCCACATGAAACCACTTCGTGGGCCACATCCGGCCCCCGGGCCTTGTTTTTGACACGTCTGAGTTAAAGGAACGGGGCCGGCTAGGGAATTCTGGGAACTGAAGTCCACCTCTCTTAAGAGCTGCCAAGATTGGGAAACAATGAGTCAGGTGCAGTGCGAGAGAGCCGGTTTGGTCTTTTGGTTAAAGGTCAACGGGACAGAAATCAGACGGTCGCGAGTTCTAGTCTTGCCTTAGCTGGTTTGAGTGACTTTGGGCCAGTCCCTCCCTCTCAGCCCCAGGAAGAAAGAAGGCAAAGGCAAAACTTCCCCCAAAATGTTGCTACAGTAGTGGCCAAAATTGTAGAAAACTTTTGGGAAAAGTGTATTTTTGAGGTTTGATGGCTAATAACACCACTTTTTTTGGGGGGGGAGTAGTACCCTAAAATTATATATCAATGGAAAGATAATTTAATCAAGAATGTAATGCCACATAGTTTGTTCAATCATCTGTACTGTATTCTATGAAATGTTAGAGCCAAATAACCAGAAAAAGGAAGCACAACTTGCTTAGGTTGATCTCAGGTAGCTTTCCTTCATCTGATTGCAGCCAATGAGCACGAGTGTTTAGAGAGCCAATCGGATGTCATCTTGTTTTGGCAATGAGCCAATCAGATCACAGTAGGATCCAGTTATTAATGTCATGTATTGAAGCTGAGAGGAGGACATTTGTCAGTGTGTTATTTGATGGCTATCAAGTTGGTTGGGGGTTTTTTTGTGTTCTTTCATTGAGTGAGCTTGTAAAACGTAATAAAATTAAAGTAACGGTGCAAAAGAGTCGACTGGTCGCCCAGAAAGCGATGTAAAATAGTATTATTAAGTGAACAAGGCTACAGTTATAAAGAAATTAGAAGAAAAAATGCTGGAAACTTAACCAAAGGTGGCATTTCTACTGTACACTTTTCCCAAAAGGTTTCCACAATTTTCGCTACTATAAGGACACTGCAGGGACTTGGCCAGGCAGTCGCCAGGATCCAAGACCGACTGAAAGGCAGAAAAAAGGAATGGAAAGCCTGACTGCGCCACGGGAGTGGAGCTAAGAGTCCCCACTGGAAGCCAAAGCATCACCGGAGCCTCCGGGGACCATATTAGGCCCCGCAAAGTCTGGACGTCAACGGGAGGAGACTGACCTTTGAGTCGCAGTATCATTTCTTGGAAAACGGTGCTGTTCTGACACAAACTGCCATATCTCTGCTTGATCTCCTCCAGTCTCCCAGCCAGCGGCTCGTCGTCTTCTCTGAGGATCCCAATGAGAGAGAAAGAAGGAAAGGAATTAATATGACTGATTTCCGGAACAAAGACAGGATCACAAAGTGCACATTTAAAAGGAAGGAGTTCCTAAAGTGTAATCTAGGTGCTCTCTGAGCTTGATGGGTTTTTTTTTTTACCTCCAGACATTTGATTACCCGACTTGGTAACAGCATCAGCGTTGAGGGAAGGTGGGGGGGGGGTTTGCTGTCTTTTATACAGAATAGCTTGTCCTGCCATTTTGGGCAGGAGCGCACATGTAGTCCTCGGACTTACATACACAATTGACCTCCCGCGTTTCTATTACTAAACAAAACTCGTTAAGTGAGTTTTTGCCCCATTTTAGGACCTTCTTTGACCAGAGTTGTTGAGTGAATCACTGCAGCTGTTATGTTAGTAACAGGGTTGTTATAAGTGAATTTGGCTTCCCCCTCGACGTGGCT